TAGTTTTTCCAGAAAGTTAGTTATTTTGAAATAGAAATCTTTTGTGACATTATAAAAGTTTTTATTTTCATTTTGTAAACAATGTAATGAAAACTTGCTGAATAAAATCGTTAATTTTAAGTATTAAGTAAAAAAAAAAGAAATCATACTGACCCCAAACTTTTGAGCAGTGGTGTATTTTAAAATATGAAATAAAAAAATTCTTGAAGGTAGAATTTAGTTTCTGTACGTCACACACAGCACATGGAAACTTTAGTGATACTTGAATGGAAATAAATGTTACAGTTTGTATTAATTAATGTCTTTGTTTCCATCTCTATACCAGACTATCTCTGTCGTGTACATAGTAACAGCGGTGGTTGGTGTGGAAACATGGTACAAACCTGTTATTGGGAATGTTCATTACAGAAATCTCTTCACTGTTATGATTGTTGGTGAGTGAACTCTGCCCTGTCATTGGCAGTTAATACTTAGTTAATACTTCAAATGCTGCGTTTTCATTCGCTTTTAGGCCAAACTTGCAAATTAAAGGATGATCTGATTTCCTCATTCATTTTTTTTAAACAGGTTGTTTATTTGTTGTAACACTGCCAATGAGCCTCTACAATGTCTTTAAGTAAGTTTCATTCCAGGCCTCTTGTGCCTTGGACTACATAAAAATGACTCGTACTGTGTAGCTTACTGATTCTCTATTAAATATTGTATGATTTGGAACAGGGATATTTGTTCTCACTCTTTCTCTCTGTATTATTATAGGGTGTACCGTAATAACACCCTGAAGCACAGTTCGGTGTATGAGGCCTTGTTGCCGTTTTTCTCTCCCGTCCTCCTGTTTGTGCTGTCTACACTGTGGATCAGTCTCTCTCCTACAGACATCATCGAGAAGCAACCCAGAATCTTTTATCTCATGGTGGGAACAGCCTTCTCCAATGTTACTGTGAGTGTACTCAGTCCTCTAGCTCTCTGCTGTAGATAAACAAGTTGTGCAGCCATGACAATGGATGTCTTTCAGTTCCATTTGAAACATCTTGTCAGATGTCTGCTCCTGACATGTTCTCTCTCTCTCTCTCTCAGTGCAAGCTCATTGTATGCCAGATGAGTAATACTCGATGCAAGCCACTGAGTTTGTTGTTGTTGCCGATGACAGCTGTGGTGTTGCTAGTGATATCTGGGACTTTGCAGAATGGTGAAATTATCGTCCTTTACATATGGACCGCCGTAGTCATCCTCACTCACATACACTATGGAGTATCAGTTGTGAGTAAAGACACACAGACTGCTCATTCGTTCATTAGTCATGAAGAATCTTTTAATTTACCTTAAGATGGTTATATATTAAACTAATAATAATAATAATAATAATTGTATGTGTATATATGTATATGTGTGTGTGTATATGTATATGTGTGTGTTTATTTGTATATATATATATTCAGTTCCATTTGAAACATCTTGTCAGATGTCTGCTCCTGACATGTTCTCTCTCTCTCTCTCTCAGTGCAAGCTCATTGTATGCCAGATGAGTAATACTCGATGCAAGCCACTGAGTTTGTTGTTGTTGCCGATGACAGCTGTGGTGTTGCTAGTGATATCTGGGACTTTGCAGAATGGTGAAATTATCGTCCTTTACATATGGACCGCCGTAGTCATCCTCACTCACATACACTATGGAGTATCAGTTGTGAGTAAAGACACACAGACTGCTCATTCGTTCATTAGTCATGAAGAATCTTTTAATTTACCTTAAGATGGTTATATATTAAACTAATAATAATAATAATAATAATTGTATGTGTATATATGTATATGTGTGTGTGTATATGTATATATATATATTATATATAACTATTTATTCAAACTATCCTTTATTCAACTTTTTTATATATTATATAATAAATATGATGTAATTATCTTTTGCAACGGTCATGTTTTTATGCACAAGCACACTTAAATATTTCTCATTATGGTCTTCTGTCTCCCTGTGCAGGTGAAGCAGCTGAGTGATCATTTTAACATATACGCTTTCTCACTAAAGAAACCCAATTCGGACTGACAAGACGAGGAGAAAATCGTCCTGAAGGCTGCTGAGGTTTAAGCAATCTCAGCATGTTCTTCAGCTAGCCGACTCTCACCAATCACCAAGGAGACACAGCTAACAACAGGAAACCAAATTGTACTGACTAAATGCGCCGCCTTATTCTGAGGATGCTGCTCAATCAACAAATGAATGGAGCTGCATCACAGGGTCCACTGATCCCTGAGGCAGAGCTGTGCCGTGGGGCTCACAGATCCCCGAGGCAGAGCTGCACCACAAGGCCCACTGTGCCCAGAGGTGAAGCCGCACCATAGGACATATTGGGCTCAGACACACAGTTACACCATGGGACTCAATAGCTCAGAAAAACAGGACCCATTGAGCCCAGGACCTACAGTGCCTCGACTTGCAGCTGTGTAACAGAGCCCATTCCTCCCAGAAAGAGCTGTATTGTGTTACTCGCTCCGAGCCGAGACAGTTTGGTTGTCTGGTATCCGTGAAGCTGGGGATTTTGCTTGTTTCCTAAGGAAATGTGCGTTTCAGCTGAGATACTAGGAGCCTTGAACGGTTAATCTCACTTACACGCTCTCAGATGAGTCACGCGCAAACCACTTGATAATGAATACACACGTATGATGTGATGAATGTCTTCAGCTTATTCGATTTGAAGATTTTATTTACATTTAATTTTGGCCTCAATTGCTCAATTTGGGGATTTTGTTTTTCAATAAGAGGCATTATTTAATTGTTTCTATAATGGACAGTATAAGCCGACTGAAAACGGTCTAATTTTCAGTTAATATGAAACTTATTTATATGTATGAGGGAACAGGGATGTTAGATGCTTATTTAAATCTATGGTGCTTTTGCTGATCTCTACAATTATACAAAATTGTAATAATGACATAAGACAAATTTAAACAACCACAAATCTATAGTATTACACAGTATTTATCACAGCTCAAACCACAACCTCATCTGGCCAATTGAATTGGTATAACTCCTGCAACTGGGATATTTGTTTGTTTTTGTTTCCTTTTTACATTGGTGATGGTGTGGCCGCGTGCCGATTTTCAGTTTCTTCCGGTTCTCTTTTTGTTTGCTTAACTAGTCGGCTTTTATTGAGTTTATTTGTGCTTGAATGAAGAGTGCGCCTCAAACCCTGACCAGGAGAGGGTGCACTTGGAGTGAGCGAGTCAAACCTCGCTCCGTCTATAAACACGATAAAAGCACTAGTCTGTGTGCCATCAACATGTCCGTTAAACCTGCAGACTGCAGGTGTCATGGCCTGCATCAAGCTCATTCCAGCATTTAGTCTGTTTTTTTTGTTATTTTGTTTCGTTTATGTATCTTACTTTCTGTTTGGTGGACTGAGGGCTTATATACCGGTAATAGGATTTATTTTTATTTATTTTTTACTTTCACTGGTGGTCTGAAGTGTGTTGTGTGAGTTGAATGTATGTGTAAATATATGGATGAGTGAGTGTGTGTATGCGCATATGTACTGTATGTATATATCTGTGTATGTTTTACACTTGTACACTCACTCTGGAACCTCATACCTCCATATATCCTGTTTCTCTGAGATGAGACCAGATCGATTGATGTTTAAACATGTACAGTCTATTCATGTTGTTATAACATAGTATTGTTGTTCATCTTTTATTATTTTATCTTCATAATATAATGGGATGTGTATTTTTTTTTTATCCTCCAAATACCTTCTGTTTCACATGAATTGAGAAATGACATGGATAAAGAACTTACATACTTTAACTGCTATATCCTAAGTAAAGTCATTCTTTGTTATGTCAGTATCTAATTATTGTCCAGGAATATATTTGTTAAAGAATGTGTGATGACACTCATTTCTAAGGGCACTCCTGCAAAATTTAGATCAGAAAGCTTTTAGCCAGCAGATGGCGCTTTTTTCTCTTTTTATGCAGTAGAACGTCATATTTTTGTATAGAGTGATGGTAGTGCCTCAGGGTCAAATTCACTTCGCAAATCGGCACATTTTAAGTTTTTTAGTGCACAGAATATCAGAGGAGGCTGCTGTCAGTGTGGCTGCTTGATGTGTTTTGTTTGTGTCACTATTATCATCCTTTTTAAACTAAACATCCCTCTTAAATGTGACTGTTTTGGTTGCAGGAGGACTCTTATCAAGTGCTGTATAACTGCATTTGTGTGATGCTTTGAAGAACAAGCAAATGTAACTTTTTTTTTTTCTTAATCTAAAGTGGGGTGAAACCTCTCAAACCTCTGCATATTGTAAAACAAAATCCAGCCATGTAACATTATCTTGTTGTGCTGCCCCATTAAATGTAAGTGTATCCACAGTATCATTTTGTCCTATTGCAGATTTTGACACCCCAGTCCCAGGACAGGCAGGATTTCACTTAGAGGCTCAGTACATCATCTGTGTTTCAGGTACTGAATAGTGCACCACCAATGTTTTGTTTCATGGAATTAACCCTTATTGTGAAAGATAATACCATTGCATTGCACATTTTGGTAATTTTTCTTTAATGCACATATATATATATTTTGTCCTATTGCAGATTTTGACACCCCAGTCCCAGGACAGGCAGGATTTCACTTAGAGGCTCAGTACATCATCTGTGTTTCAGGTACTGAATAGTGCACCACCAATGTTTTGTTTCATGGAATTAACCCTTATTGTGAAAGATAATACCATTGCATTGCACATTTTGGTAATTTTTCTTTAATGCACATATATATATATATATATATTTTTTTTTAATGTAAAAATTTGTATCCCAATAGAGGACATGCGAAATGTGAAAGCGAGTTTTGAGAGAACCAAGTAGACATTGTGCCCTTTCGCCTCATTCAGGAGTTCCCCAACTTTTTTGTCAGCCAAACCCCTTAGACTTAAAATATTTATTTGAAGGCTCAGTAATTTAACAATCTTGCATTAACTTATGTTGGTTAATGACAACATAAAACATTTAGTGTTTTTAAGCAAATGTTTTTTCAACATTTACAAAATTAAAATTTTTACATTAAATTTACATTATTTGCAAAAATGTTTTGTTATATTGCCATTTGAACTGTGATATGATTAACTTTCATAGATGGATTTTAAAGTGGACTCAAACCTCAATTTAGTTGTGATAGTGTCTCAGTCCACATTATTCACACTTGTGTTTTTAGGAACCAAACAATTAACAATAATAGTTAACATTTTTATTAACAGTAATGTATTTCTGTCTTCAGTGTTTTATAATTAGTTTAAATTGCAATACTGTAAATAAAAAAAAATGATACTATTACAATGTTTTATTTTACACACATTCATGTCTTAAGTTCTTTCAAACCTTCAAACTCTTGAGCTTTTAATATTTCACATTCCAGCTTTTTATTTCAGCAGAATACTGGTGAAATGCTGTAAACCTCTATCTAAAAATGTTGGAAATTATGTGTACATTGTGCTTCCAAATGCACGTTAAGCTCAGCACATGCAGAGATGAAGTTTGCTTCATTTACTGTGAACTCAGCTGCTCTGAGAGACACTGAAAACATCACGAGCTGCTGGATTATACAATAGCCTATAACAGTTGTGAAATTTTGCAAGTATATGTGTGCTTTGACTTTTGAAAAGAAAAGAAAAGGATATGGCATGTGGCCAAGTATGGTGTCCGACTCTTAACCATTAGGCCATGACTGCCCCCCCAGCAATCTAGGTAAAATTTGTATATATTATATCTGATTAGCTCTTTGATGTTCTGTGAAGTTTCATGATCCTAAAATATTTACATTTATGCATTTAGTAGAAGCTAGATTCATAACTGTAAATGTAAATTTACGTTTAGTCGAATGATTCTGGAATGTATTTACACCACATGTAAATAATTTGGACTAGTTCACTTGTGTGTATAATATAAATACACGCACAGATAGATGGATAGATCTACATTTGTTACAAAAGTGTTGGCAGTAAGCATTGATCTTGTAGTTTGACTTTAGTGAGCTGTGACATTCCACGTGTATTTTATCCGCCAAAAAGTGTTGGTGTGATGCAGTCCAGAGTGACAGTTTTTATCATGCTTTGTTTTAAACCATATTTAGTAACTATATGTATTATTGAATTGCTTTAACACCCGTGTTGCAGTGTTGTTATCAGTCGGGATAGTCCTGGTCCTTAACTGACAGTTAATGGGAGGTTGCGTGAATTAAACGACGACAGCGTCAGTGTAATGTTCCTGGAGCGCAGTTCGTTTTGTGCGAGGCTGACCCGGTGCCTCGAGCCGGGACCGGGAGAGCGCGCTCAATAATGCATGTACGTCATTAGAAACCGGAGAAGGCCGGTGTATAGCCGTTATTTCCTGGGAAACGCGAGTCAGGGCGAGGTGCTGACTGTCCAGCCTCTGACGCACCTCAAGTTACACAGAAATCTTTGAACTCGAAGACGTGTTTCCCGCCTCGTACGCTAATGCATGTAGTTTTGCAAAGTTTTACCTGGGTTACTGTTAGCCTGTGGTGGCACTTCTGCTTCACCCAGAAGCCCCGGCACTCAACTTTTATTCAACCCGGGATTAACGGCGCGTACATCAGTGACGATAAACTCCAGGTACGGTTTAAACGCCGCGCGACCCTTCAGTTTACCAAAGCACCACGTGGGCCTTTAAAATTCTCGCGCTATTTGATCGCGCCGGTGTTTGCTAAACAAGATATGCTGGTTTAACAGTTACTTCATGCCTGTAAACCCTCCCGTTTTTCCCGAGATTCTCCCGTATATTACCATTCTATCCCGCTATCATCCCGTTTAAATATTTTCCCGTATTTTTAATCTTTCTATAAAAAAATCCCACTGGGCGTAGGCTATTTACATTCGCTTCCGGTAAAACGCCCATAATTTGTATGGGCCAAACCATAGACATATAAATACCTAGACTCCTCATTGGCCGCTCGACCGCACGTCAATCGTTGACGTATCGCAGCAACGGCTCAAAGTGGCCAATGAGGCGTCTAGGTATTTATATGTCTATGTCCAAACCTCATTATATGAATAATCACGGCAACAAATTTCAAGGTTATCCAGTTGCCAGATCTTGTATGAAACGCATCTTTCTCACGCGATCCCGACGCATACAAATTTCAACCCATTTGTCCCCTCAACTTGGCAACCTACAGCCCAGTGATGCTATTGATATCTGAGCAGGGAGTACCACGGGAAGGAAACAATGATCACTGGTAGAAATGGGAGAAGGTGGTGCTCCAGTGAAAAAAAAAAATATATATATACATGTAAATGTATATTTACATGTATAATGAGATATAGCTTACACTTCAAAAAGGCTATTTAAATGATTAAGCGCTGCAAGTTTCTAAGTCAGGTGCTGCTTTGTTTACTGCAGTTACCGGGGAAATGGCTGTATTCCTGGCGAAAAATGCCACTTGCTGGCATAGAATGAATTTGCATTTTAGACCAAAGCCAAAAACGACCCTTATTTTTACGCAGAAAACACGCAGTTGTAAATGTGAACCGGTGTTCACCTACCCAAATGTTGACAGGTATGAGTTACTTATCAAATTAGACATTCATTGACGCATTTAATTCTAGATTATTATACATTTTGTCTCACAGAATTGTTTAAAATCTTGATATGCAGGCCTGAAAAGTCATGGGAAAAGGCTATAATTATTTTTATAATTATTTCTAATTATATTCAAAGAAAAATACGTAGAAAACGTTAGTCAGACCAGTAAACAAACTCTTGGAAAAGTAGCCTAAGTCCAGTCTATAATGTCCCAGTTTGACTAATGATTTATTGTATTTGGTGTTAGGCAAGTTTAGGCTTGTTTAAGGCAAGATTGGGCTTCACAGGTTCCTGGTCACATTGACACACGCCACTGGATAAATTGTTATTAACATTCCTGAAGCTCAAACAGTAGAACATGGCGCTTGCAACGCCAAGGTCGTGGTTCAATTCCCAGAAAAAGCACAAAATTATATATAAAAAAAAAAAGTAATGTATACTTTAAATGTAATGTGAGTTGCTTTGGATAAAATCATATGCCAAATTAATTGACTGCAAATGCAACTCTCTCCGTGGAATAAGAGATGGGACGGGTCTATGTTCTGTTCCTGGCTGTCTCGTGGGTTTAATACATTGACATGATCTTCCCACGGAACTGAGGTGATGTGCCTCTTCATCACTGGGTTGCTTGGTACAGTAAGATACCCCTGTAGCGTCCTTCTAGTTAAGTCACTGAGGTGGTACATATTAGTTCTTATTCTCTATGGTGTGTTTAATTAAAGCGGAGACAGATGGGATTGTCTTGGAGGTAATGGTAGCACCCTGGTAATGTCCAGACATTAGGTCATTGGTCTATTTGAGGTCAGACCACTGCTTGATGTATTGCTGGACATGTTCACATACTTGGACATGTAAGATACAGTTAAAATGAAAGGTATTGCATTATATTGCAAAATATTCAACCAAGTGACATTTATTTTATAGAAATGTATTTCAATCACTCATAAAAAAAGAAAGCTGGCATGTTCTTCATTATAAAACAACAGACATATTGTTTAAAATGAATAACAATTCAACAATTTGTAGTTGAAAAGATTAATAGGTCAAAGATGTTCCGTCATATTAAATGCAATAAACACCTGTATGAATTTGAGGAGAATTGACATCATACACTACCCTTCAAATGTTTGAGGTCAGTAAGTTTTTTTTTTTTAAAGAAATTAATACTTTTATTCAGCAAGGATGCATTAAATTGATCAAAGTGACAGTAAAGACAATTTCACAAAAGCCGTTTTCAACATTGATAATTACAAATTTGAACATTTCATTCTTGAGAACAAAATCAGCATAATGGAATGATTTCTGAAGGATGTGACACTGACGACTGGAGTAATGGCTGCTGAAAATTCACAGGAATAAACATTTTAAAATAAATTAAAATATAAAACAGTTTTTAACCTTAATAGTTTTAACAATTACTGTTTTTAAAAAAAAAATCATCCTTTTTTTCAATAAAGCTTTCTGGACGGTAGTGTACATTTACTAAAAATCATCTTGACCTCAAAATGGGTTAAAAGTATTTTTTCAAAAAGGCTAGAAATGTGAAGTTAATTTGGTTAAGTTAATTGTTTGCAGATGCCACTTGGTTGTGTTATGTCGTTACTTAATGCAATCAAATTCATACAAAACTGTTGAAAAAAAGCTGGATTATA